GGCCACCTGAATCCACCGAAATGGAAAGCGACCGCTGCCCATAGACATCCGCAATTGCAGATTGCCTAGCCTTAATCGACGGCGGAGGAGACGCACATAAAGAGGACATTTTACCTTCTTATGCGTCTCTTCCACCGTCAAATCCATTTTTCCTTCCCATCCTTTCCCCTTAAAAAAAGGGTGGAAAGGGAAAGGAACTCAAAATAGGCCTCCGGCACCACAATGATCAGACGAAACGCGGAATGTCGTAGTTTTAAAGTTAATCCAATGATTCTCAATAGGATTGTTTCAAATTGCTTGTCAATTTTATAAAGAAAAATGCAAAGACAGTAAACTTCTGACATACAGATTTTTATAGTTGATATATTTAAATGTTACTAACATTATAAATGCGAAAGTTTAGATGGATGGATGTTTGACTTTGAAGCCTAAACTGCTGAACGGATCTCTGTGAAATTTGGCCTACTTTTGTTTTTTTTATTAAAAAAAAAACTTGGAATTATCCACGCTAACGGAGTCGCGGGCGAAAGCTAGTTATCAATAAGTTGTTAATACAGACGCATTACATAGACACGAAGACAAGATAATAATAAATTAGTTTATGATTCTTAATCCTAATTTTAAATGATAATAGTGAATCCCCCAATTTAATTTTATATCTGACTGTACCGACATAGTTATGTGACGCGGTAAGCAGAAGTCAAATTAAATTAGACTCATGTAATCAGCTCTGTACTGATTCAAAATAGCTGATATAGTCATAAACCGTTGAGCCGCTCAACAATTGTATAAGCAGCTCAATAAAAACTGGGAGACCCGCGAACTGTTCGGTGACTAGCAAATCACTTAACACATTTTTATACAGATTAGTGTATTGTAACTCCCTCCGTGATGCCTTCAAACTTCTCAATTCCTAATTATCACTTATATCTAATTCCCAAACTAAACATTTAATACTGGCTAGTTAAAAAACCATAAATCATTCCCATTATATCACTTTACACTTGCATTGTAATGGTTTTTCTTTCAACTTTTTCAACGTATATTTTTGAGATAAGAGGACAAAGGTGTATCGTGCTTTATCATTGACACGCTTCATTATTATAATTTTAAAATAAACAACCATAGGCAAATAAACTTTAAAGATGAACATCTGTTCATTAAAAATTAAATTAGGATCTCCTAAGAGTATGTAAACTAACTGTTGCTTGCGACTTCACCTGTAAGAGATTAAAAAATAGAAACATGTTTAGCCTCACTACGTGATAATGTAGCTTTTAAATGGTGAGATAATTTTTAAAATAAGCCCTCTGTCTCCACTCTTTATATTATTAGTTTAGATGAAGTACGATTGAATATTTCTCTCACAACCATATTTTATAATGGTTGATATTTTTTTTATTTTATGGCTTCCTGATATACCTGATACTTTTTGCACTGTTTATTTCGTTAATTTAAATATAAACCTCCTTACTACTGTAACTAAACAACTGTTTTAATCTCAAAGTTTCCTTACTAAAAAAAGTCCTGATCCGTTTTCTCTCGTATAAAATGTGCTCAGAATAAATTATTTTGTTGTAAGGTCAACAACAGGTAATGTAATGCTTTTTTTTTTCAAAACAAAAGTAATCAAACACGTGATAAAAATGCCCATATAAATATTTACATTAAAAAGTCAAGAACCATCTTGTCATTCGCCAATCAACGCAAACCTCATGTCCACCATGACCCATGCTCCGCGCCCCATGACCTTAGATAATTTAATTTATATAACAAATGAAGTTATGGGCAAGGTTAGTTTATGTAACAATAAAAAGTTGACTTTTAAAATCACAAAGGGTATAGCCCGCTTTAACACGTACGAATGAGTCGTACTCAGAAGACAGACGTGAAGTGAAAGCAATTCCGCGTTTCGTCTGATGAGTGTGGTGCCTGAGGCCCAATTTTAGTACCTTTCCCGTCCCACCATTTTCTTTAAGAATGGATGCGAAAGTGGATTTGATGGTAGAGGAGACGCAAAGGATAGGGAAATATTCTCTTTATGTGCTTCTCCTCCTTCGTCGATTTAGGGTAGGCATCTGCAATTGCGGATGTCTATGGGCAGAGGTCGCTTCGCCATTTCGGCAAATTCAGGTGGGTGCTTGCTCGTTTGGCACCTTATATTAAAAAAAGTAAAAACCAAGGAAATTTTAGCACAGGGCTTCATAAATACGCTGTTTATTAATGTTTATTACAAAAATGGTGAAAGAATTTTTGATATCGTTTCATTAGTTTCGGCTCCTATTCAATGCAAATAAATAATTATATATCTTTCCTGTTTATAACATTTTTTGGCTTTTCCCGCGACTCCATCGGTGTGGAATAAAAAAACAAAAGTAAATAGCCTATGTCTTCTTCCAAATTGTCCTGTACATCTATGTTAAATTTCATCTAGATCCGTTTAGAAGCTTAAGTTACAAACTCTAATAAACAACCATTCATCCACAATATTAAATGATAAGTAAGAAATAAGATAGTATAGATTAACATAGGCGTCACTAAAGCAAATATTCTGGTACTTATGATGAAAGGAAATCCATATATCATTTATTCGCTATCTCTATATCAAGCATTCCGATGCACACTGACAGTAAAAATAACATCGTAATCCAAGTAACGATTTATTACAAGATATAGGTTAATCCCCATACTATTTATTATCATTTGTTTTTAGAAAAACGTGTCGTCTTAATATTGTAAAAAATTGTATGTTAAAAGAGTTGTGCCATTGTCGGTTGTTTCGCAGCCAATTCAACTGTTTAGTTGCACAACTCAAAAAAGTAGTGTGAAAACCTCCATATAAACTTATAGGTATCAAAGCGAGGCTAAACAGTTGTGCGATATTTTAGGTTCGGGTGTGCGCACGCTCTAAATGAGATAATAAACAATAATTTAATTGTTACTTAAAAAAGAAATGATTTATATTATTAGGTAAATCAATTCACAGATCAAACTGGCATTTAACTAAGCTTAATTACCTACTAGCTGTTCCCGTGCGGCTTCATCCGCATGAAGTTATGAAGAATGAAAATTTTATGTTATTGTTTACATTTGTCAAATTATCAATAGCAAATGTCAAAATTACATGATATGACGAACCTTGACAATATTGCTCCCTTGATGTTGGCAGCAACTTATGGTCTCTTTCCCACGTTAGGGTTTTTATCCAAAATATTTACCCCCTAAGTTTAATGGCGTGAAAATATATAGCCTAAAGCGTGACGTAAGTGAAGGGCTTTTTATTAAAAAAAGAATTATTTAAAAATATGCTATAATTGCTGACATCTTAGGCAACAAAGAAGTGTGTGTTTACGCTTTATTATAATAGTACAGATACAGATTTTTTAATTCAAATACTTCGGATATAATTGCGGTGAAAAGTTTTTTTTAATGTTTATATTGATAAATGCTTGCACGTGTCAAAGATATTTTTTTTAAGTTGCTATTATAAATTAACTATAATAGACCAGTTCGAATCACGTGTGATCAGTAGTGACCTCTTGAGTAAGGGTATCTAGAGAGATAACTGCTTTAAGAGGTCACAATGTTCAGACGTTGTTTTAGAAAGCTAATCAAGCCAAAGGTTAGTATGGATAACATTGTTAAAATATAGCCTAGTAACTGTTATTTTATCTACGACTATCTGTAGCCCCTGACTCCGTCCGAGCGGAATAAAAACTTTAATCAGTTGCCTATGTGTTCTTCTATACTATGTTCTACAATGATCTGTTGAGCTGTTCTGAAGATAAGGAGTAACAAATATCCATTTAAATTATCGCATTACATTATTAAGAGGTAAAACATACGTGGGCCATTTTAAGAGATCACATTTGTTGTCCATTAATTTTAGCATCATAGTAAGGTGACCTGCTTAAAAACATCGATAAAGTTGAAGAATCGATCCTCTCTTCAAACATAAGTGAATCGAATTAACAAGATTGTCATAAATCAATGTCTGCACTTAAATATAAAATTAAACACATGTTGTTTAACTAAATAGGGTGTAACTATGTAACTTTTCGATCGTAACTCATTGATATTATGGATATCAACGTAATCATGTGTTTCACCAAACTGCTTTCGTTACAAGCATTTTATTATTTAGTAACTGTCATGGAATACAAAAAAAGAAAATTAAGTAGCCCAGGTGTTCTAGACTGATCTCTACATCTATACCATATAGACATATGTTCAGCTATTTACGAGGTAAACTCTAACAAACATCCGTCCATCTAAACATTCTTATTAATAATATTAGTAAGACTAGCTGTTCCCGTGCGGCTTCATCCGCATGGAATTATGAACATTTTATTATCCTGTTTACATTTGTCAAATTATCAATAGCAAATGTCAAAATGACATGACATGACAAACCTTAGCAATCTTTCTTCCTTGATGTTGGCAGCAAATTATGGTGTCTTTCCCACATTAGGGTTTTTATCCAAAATATTCACCAACTAAATTTAATGGCGTGAAAATATATAGCCTAAAGCGTGACGTAAGTGAAGGGCTTTTTATAAAAAAAAGAATTATTTAAAAATGTGCTGTAATTGCTGATATCTTAGGCAACAAAGAAGTGTGTGTTTACGCTTTATCATAATAGTATAGATAGATTGGTCAAGATATTTGGTAAGTCTACGCATAATATTTTTTCAATGTCTATGGAGTCAATGTCAATGGCACGGTGTAAAAGGGCATGTCTTTTATAATAATATTATGAAGAGGAAAGATTTGCATTTTTGTATGTATTTAATTCACTTAAAAACTACGGGGTCGATTTCATAAATTCTTTCACCATGAGAAAGGTAATTTATCTGCGAGGCTAGGCTAGGCTAGGCTATATTTTTTATGACATCAAAATTGTATTGTATTATCTGTGGTATGTAAAATTTAAATCACTATGTTAAGCAATTTTACAAATTAACTTTTTTTTATTCTACCAAAACAACTGATAAAAAAGTAATCATGGTAATTTATTATCATAACTTGTGAGGAGTGTTATTTTACAAGATGTTTTGCTTAACCTCTGACTAAATTGTAACATGGGCAATGGAGATAAAAAAAAGAAAAAAAAACGACTTATGAAAAGCTACGGTTCTACCACTTACAGGTGTGTATTTAGAATATATTTGTATACTATAATTGTTCATTATTCAATACTAGCTTTCGCCCGCGACTCCGTCCGTGTGGAATTAAAAAAAACAAAAGTGAACAGCCTATGTGTTCTTCCAGACTATCCTGTACGTCTATGCCAAATTTCATCGAGATCCATTCAGCCGGTTAGGCTACAAACTCTAACAAACATCCATCCATCCATTTAAACTTTCGCATTTATAATATTAGTAAGATTGTATGAAAAATAAAAAAAAAACGATTTTTTAAATATTTCACGGTTCAAGTCTCATGAACTCAGTTTAATGAGAGTTGTTTATCTGTTTGTTTAGTTGTACTAGTGTAGTATGTTATCTATGCTTGTACTAATTAATAGTCTGTGCTGCGGCTAACGTTTTTTTCTATGTTTACCTTTTTTATAATGAAACGTAAACAAAATGATCACAACATGCTTTTGTTTGTGATACTGACCTAGACTAGATTGATCGGTTGGTAAAATTTGATTGGTTCATTACTTCGAAATTGGTTCTCATATATGTAATTTGATTTTGTCGCTTATGTTGTATATTTATTATATTTAACGTTACATAATTTTATCGTATTCAAAGTTAAAAAATCACTAGTTTAGGGGACTAAATCTGTACAAAATTGTTATGGACCAATAAAGATTTTTTTAAATAATATTTGTCTGGGAGCCTGACAAAAATAAATAGCTTTTGTTCCATTTAACACAACATGTTTTTTGTGATATTCAAATTCAACAGGCGCGATTCAATAAAAAAATGATCTAAAACAAAAATTCATTATTTAACTTACAACTTTAAGAAGTCTTGTTTCCATTCATACAAAACTTACAAATTAATTTAGATACAAAATGCACCTTGTAAGTACACAGGCGGGTTATTTTTCTATTTCATTATAACAATTTATTAATTAACAAATCATGTGTTTCTAATTTTAGCTAGTATAGTTTTATCGACTATCTTATCAACTAATTTAATATTTCATCGAAATTTAAACACCTAATTTCGGAGCTTCCAATATTCACACTAAATTAAAATTATTCGTACAACCAAAACTCCTGAAATAGGTATAAATTCCGAATCATCAATTCATGAAACGTCCTTTTCTTATTCTTTTGAGTATACCATCTTTTCCTCTTTTACTTTTAATATATTATTTTTCGCGTTGGTGGCGGACTTAAAGATTCAGTGGTCGGTGGTTTAAGAGTCGTTTCTGAGGAATAACTTTGTAAGACAGTAGTGTCCTTAGATTCGGATGTCCCAGTGTTTATTTCTTCTTCGGGTATGTTTGCTTTTGCGGCTATTCTGGCGATTTCTTGGTTGACTTTGGCGACCAGTTGTTCAACAGCGACGGGCCAGCGCTGCGCGGGTACTGCGTGAGAGGGCGACAAGCGTGCGTCTGTCATCACAGCTAGTCGTACCGTGTCTGCGTATTGTATCACCGTCAGTGATAGACCTGAAATGGTATCGGTTGTTGCATTAACCATTAAATTAATTATATCACTTTTGCTGCAATCATCTTAAGGTTCAAGGACCACTTCTTTGTATCTCTTTAATCAAACACTTCAGTTTTTACATGTGCTAAATAATGCTTAAAATATAAATACAATGAAACTTGGATATAATCTGTTTGTTTGCTTTTATAATGGCCTTTGACCAATAGATCCCATATAGAATAATACTTACTAATATTTGCTTGTGGTGGTCTCCAGTAGATGACGTGGTCTAC